TTTTTCAGGTATGTTTTTATTGTTGAATGCTGGAAATATAATGCATATAATTAAAAAAACATTTAATTCTTTTAGATATTATTTATATGCTTTTACTTGTTTCATTATTTATACAAACGATTAAGTGTCAGCACAATTTTGGAAATGGTTTGGAATTTATTTGTATGTAACAAGGTTGCTCAATACTTTTTTCACTTTATTGCATAATAATCATATTCATTTTTTTAAATTCTAGTAAAATATTCGCCAAAACCTAAAGAATTTAAATATGATAAAGATGATGAAATATTTAATAAGGATGATGAATATTTATCTGATAATGAGGATTTATCTGATAATACGAATCTTTTTTCATATATTTTAGAGAAAATTAAAACAGTGAAATTATGCTTTGTAAAAGTCATAATTGATCTTTTAAATTAATTATCCTAATTAGTAAGCTACATTCATTTTCTTTTATCAAAATAAAAATTTTAGTTTTTTAACATAATAATTTTGACAATATTTATACTTATTTGGAAACTATATAGTACAAATTGAAAACAGTTTTAACTTAAGCATTAAATTATATAGTTTATTATTAAGAAATCTTTGCTACAGATCACAGTAAATTAGATTAAAATAAATTTTAATTTCTTTTTTAAGCTTTTAAAATATATTTGGAGCCACTAGTAGCAAAAGGAACATTGTGACAATTATGTGATTTTGAGAAGATCATAATTTAATATCTTTATATGTTAATTTTATTATTATAATAATGAAAATTTTTAAATTAATACACTTATTATTAGTAGATTTTACAAAGTAAAAGTATTTTTAGAAAGACAAAACTTATAAGCAAATTATTATTATAAAATCTCAAAATCTGATTGGTTTGCCTATGTATTAAAAAGTAGATGCAGAATATCAAACTATAACTAAATTATTAAGACTTGGCTTAATTAATTTTGAGACACTTGAAGAATAGTTAACTCAGTGATAATCACATCACGTAAAACAATGCAATGATATCATTTGTTTCTAATACTATCAAATCAGCCTAAACTATATTATCACCTGACCCCAACACTAACCCTAATTTAGGCTAAATATTTAATCATGTAATGTGATGATTACAAAAATATCACTGGGTTAACTGTTCT